TATATAAAACATTTAAAATATATATATTTTTATATATAAAATCAATATAAACTGTCAAGAAGCATAAATGGACAAAAAAAAATCACTGTACCTCCACAGTTTATTAAAACAACAATACTCCATTCCTTTTTGTGCTTTCTAAAAAGTCCTATTAATATTTCTAATAGCTGGTTTTTCCCAAAATCTTTATCGTTACTTAACATTGATCATTAACCTGGTCTCTGCAGGATTACAGGATACCCACTGAGTTAAGAATTTGCCCCTGAGGAATGTTCCTAACTCTGGAGTTGTTTTCTGGCGTATCTCAAGTAGACACAAATGCCATAAACATTTGTGAAAAGAGCTCTTTTACCAAGGTAGATTGATATCATATGAAGATTTTCATATCATGAGCACCACCTTGTCCTTTACCCCAAATCCAGCACATTACAGTCCCCAGGTGCTGTTTGCAAAAAGTATGTAGAAGTTCTTTCCAAAACTGTGAACCCTGTGGAATAAAACCTAAAAGCAAAATAATAAACTTTTAAGCTGGATGTTTTCTTACCTACAGGACTGCATAAGACCAGCAAGGCTCTGAAAGAATCCCACATCCTTTTTATCCTTGAGGTAGTCAAGCATTTTCTGCAGTAAACACAAATAATTTATGCAGAGAATTAATATTTATACTATGTGTTAATCTAATTAACTTAATACTATATGGTTTCTAGATTACTAGTGATGTTGGTGTTTTGAAATAGCTCTAATGTTTACAAATTAAAAAGTCTTGCAGAGAAAAATCCAGGTATCAAAAATAAAAAGAACATTTAATGCTCATGTCCTTTACACAAAAGAAGATCATCGATACTGGATATTCCTTCCTAAAACATGGAAAATAAAGATAGTAACTAAAGTCAACACAGCCAGCAGAATTTAGTGTTTAATATAAATACAATCTTGACACTACTAGGCTACAAATTTGTATTGACAGTACCGTTTCAGCATCAGACTGGGTTTGTCATAACCCCAGGGTTTTTTAGATTATTTTAGTTGCAACAGCGTGTTAGTAGTCATGTGAGTATTTGTAAAATTTGTTTTAGTTTTATTGTAATGTGTAATACCTATCTGATAATAGATTGCAATAACCAGAAGTTATTCAGTGGAGTGAACTCTGATTTCTAGAATGCAATGTGGTGTTGAGTGAAGATACGGGATGATACCAGAGGTCCTAGTTGTGAACAAAAATCACAATGCTCAAAGATCAATCTTAGCAGGAGTGCTACAAGAATTCATGTTGTGAACGAGGCAAAACTCTTCTTGCAAGTAACAAAAATAACAGGAAAAATGGATAATAAGTAGCCTTCAAAATGAAGGAGCATATAAGCAGACAGTGTTAACAAAATGTATCAGCGTAACCCCAAGTAGACCCAAGATCACAGAAAAAGAACACCCCCATGAACAACACCATACTAATCAGAGCAAAGAACTCCAGAGGATGATGATGACGACTTTTCAAAACCACTTCTGTACCTCTCCCCCCACCCATACCATTCTTCCCAAGGAAGACTGAAGAGTTGATCTTAGGACCTGAAGGAAAATCAGAAAGGTGAGCATAACACCAGAGAAAACAGGTAGAAATGAGGCAACTGAAAAATAGCAGTTCTAACTGTATTACTAGTGCTTGTATAAGTATGTAATTAGGACTAATAGTATTAGTATTATTGTAACTGTACCTGTAACTGTTTCCCGCATTCTGATTAGTTAAGACTTTATCAAATCATTTGAAAGAATGTAGATTGGAGCATTACAAATTCAGATTAAATAAGTACGTACAAATATCACTATTTTCCTAAGTAATTTAATGTGATGACATCACGAAGAACTGCCAACGGTTCAAGCAGATAACTTTTCTGCACCATTTGTGGTCTTTCTGGTTAATTCCTGGTAATGACAGCCCCTGAAAAGAACATTATTTTTGTCTGCATTCAGCTGCTTCAGTGGTTGCTTAACTTGGGACCTTAACTGTTCCCAGTTGTCTGTACCCCTCAAACTGCCCTACAGCAATGTAGTACCGGCAAGTATGAAGCCTTCTGGACTCGGGAATCTTCACCTAGTACAGAACACTGAATGTGCTCTGTATCAGTCACTTCTCTTCAACAGTGCAGAACACCGTTAACATATCCGACTTGTCCACTGCTCAGCACATTATCTTACTATAGATTAGAAAATCATACTTGAGTTCTCTGCTTTTCTCGCCAAGACTCTCCATGGCATAAGTTAAGGACTTCTGAAGTTGTGTAATATTTTTTTTTGGTGGAGACTAGGGTCATCAATTTTGCTCTGCTCGCTACAGGAGAATGGCAATCTCCGAAGAAATCCTTCCCTCCCACAGAACTGCTCTAAAAGTTAATGAATTAACATAAAATTTACCCCTTCTGGTCAAAGTGCAAAACAAATTCCTCCAGCCTTGTATTCTGTAGATGAATTATATGTATACGAATAAGAAATATATACCTAGCAAACAAGGTACTTTTGCACACTATTTTCTTCTGGGAACTAGTGTAAGAGGATAAACAGCATCTGACAAATAGTCCTGTTACATAATGCACTACTACAATAATAATGACCTGGTATAAAGATCTGTACTAACTAGAATGGGTGAAAATAAATTAGCACCTTACCTGTTGAACGGTAGAATTTCCTCCATTTAAGATAGCAATCCCTAGCTTTAGGGTAGCTGCAACCATTGGCCCCATCTCACCTTAAAATTATTTTAAAATATACTTTTAGATCATATATAAAATAAGAATGTTCTATTAACTTATCCATACAATGACTTAAATGGTAATTCATCAGGAGAGGCCTTTTTGTTTCTCTTGTAAAATAGACCTGGTGTTCTTTCATCACCTCTAGTGTGACTTTATATCCTCCTGCGTGCTTGCAGACATAGTGTAATGTATACACAGCACACAAAAGAAGAAAGTTATAAGACAGAAAGAACTGAGCTCAATGAATATAAATCATGTTTCATTCACTAGAGCATCCAACAGTTGATTTAAGGTTGGGTGCACAATTTTAAGCTAGCTTTCCAGTTTAACAATGTGTCTCCTCTGCATGCCAGTCTAGAGGTTTTTTTCCTGTTTCTTCAGAAAATGACAGTGATCCAAAGCATTTATTTACAGTAAATGAAATCTGTAAACAGGAATTTTTAAAACATCACTAATGTAGAAATAAATTGCAGAACAGATAAGGAAAACATCAAACCTTAGAGTAAGACGATGTCTAAGGGACAAATGCATCATTTACATTTCTGAAATGTTTTATCAAAGTACACCCATGAAGTAGGTATTTGGAGAGTGGAGGATAAAAAGACCAAAGTTTACACCTACTTCAGAATTGTATACATCCCAGAATTCGAGGGTCTTTTTGTCATTGCATACTGCTAAAGCTATGAACTTTTTCACACTTCCTCTCAATCATCACTAGAAAAATAATAATAATAATTATTATTATTATTATTACTAATAACAACAATCACCTCATGAGAATTATTCATTATACTTTTCTGGATTAGCTGTCAATAATTTTTGAAACTTTGGGTGTATTTTGAAAGCAAACTTTAGTGCCAAACATCTGCAGGTTTTGCCCAATAAGAACTACAATAATTTCAAAGATCATCAGAAATAAGGTTTAATGTGTAATCTATACAACAAAATATTACCTTTACTAGCACTGATTGTCTGCAGAACCATCTCAGCAGCACCACGATCATGCAGTCTGGCTTGTTGATACAGAAGTTTTTGCTTCTCCATTTCTTTTTCCTGAATAAAAATTCCAGTCATTTAAGATGAGGACTTCAGTTACTATCAGTTCTCCAAAGGCTTTTGGCTTTCTCTTAGTATATGGGCTCTATGGCAACATCATGGACCATTTTAATACATACAATGCTACTGAACAGATATTTAACATGTTCAAGTAATATTCTCCCCTTAGTAGTTTTCTTTAATATGCTTTTAGCAGTTTATCTGAAAAGAGTCATCTCAATTGTAAATCATTAGGTTAGTTCAAAGCCCATGTTCATTATATATATATACTGCATATGTCAAACTTGCACTTTTGTGCTGTGTTTTTGTGCAACAGTTCATACTCTTAATAATCTTCTCTAGTGTGACCATAACTTCATACTGCTCAGTATGCGGTTCTTGAGTTGCAAGTTGTTGCTGAATACCAGAGTAACAGAAGCATCTTAGAATTTTTTTCAAAACATATCATTATATTACAATATAGATTGTCCACCCTACCAACAGAATATTTGATAGAATACACTGTGCTTTTATATTTTGCATTCTCTAGCGGCAACAAACAATACTGCATGGCGTTGCTTGAGCAATGGTGAAGTTTGTTCTTTATAATTTAAACTACTACCGAAAACATAAAGAAGAACATAAAGAGCAAACATAAAGGCACAGTTAATTCCAGATGAGTTTGAACTTTCACCAAGTTAATTGAAGTTTGCTGGAGAATTGAGGATGACTAAGCAGTATAAGTTGCAAAATGGAAGTTGCATAGAGCCCTATGACAGTGAGTCCATCGGATGGCGTGGTAAAAAGCTTACTCAAGAGGAACATGACACAATCAGTTAGTATCATGTCCAAAAACACAACGCCCAAAACATGTATGACCTAAAAGCAGGAACAGCTGCAGCAGAAGTAGCCAGAATGACAGCTTTGCTGCCATAAACTTTCCATCCAAATTACGGAAAAAAGACATTGGAAGATGGAAGAGGTTTAAAAAATGAAGGCTTGCTAAATAGAGGGTATGAATAATAAATTAAAAAAGAAGAGGTAAAAGAGAGAAATATGTTCAAATGAATGAAAAAGAAACCTTTAACTCAAAAGCAAACCAACACAGATATTTATGCTGTTACCAGAGAGTTCTCGCCGAGGCTGGCAAATTTGTTTCTTAAATCTTTGATAATATCGTGCTGCGGAAACAAAATTCATCAGGGTTTTTTTTTCACACTATTAGCTCTCCTGTGGTTAAATTGTATCTTTCTTTTTTCTTTAAATTATGTGACAGATCTAGATGGAGGCACAAAAAGGAAAAAAAAAAAATGGCAGCTTTGCTTCATATTTAGCCATGCTAAGGTTTGAAAGTTTTGCCTTCATGTTTAAACCTCTTCCTGGGAGTTCAACAAAAACGGAACAGAAACATACACACACGCACACACACCCCCCACACACAAACCACCAGAAAATCATGACATCACAGCTTCGATATAGCTACAATAAAATATTGTCATTTGCTTCAGATGCCACTGAAAATTGATCAGTGCTTCTTTTTTAAAAAATTATTTCCTATTTCTAGTCACTTTGAGTTTTAGACCCAACAATCTTTTATTTTTCTTCCATTGTAAGATTTATTATTCACTTGTTCACAAGCCTAACATCAGCTATACTACTTTCACTATACAATATTTTTTTGATAAGTTTATAAGAATGCTTGTAGGGAGATGCATCTGCATAATCTACAGACTAAAAGAATGGTTATGCACACTTCTTTCAACAGCACTGTAGAAGAACAGCAGAAATGGGCATCGCCAAACAGCTTAAAGGCAGAAGAGTGGCATTTTCCATGGAAATCAGGCTGTCTAGGTAACTAGTAACAAAGTAGACCAAGAAAAAAATAAAAATCCACCACCAAAAAACCCACCACAAACATGTCTTCTAAAAGCAACCATTCCTTTGATGATAACCCCCAAAGATCATGGTCCCTTCTTCAGCTTGACAATGCTTTTCACTGTTTCTTTCTCCATGCAATGTTAACAGGTGTGTACATATATATATATGTGTGTGATGGCAGCATTGATATGAAGTTGGCCACCCATTGCATACAAAGTGTACTAAATTAATGGGGCTGCTGGCTTGTGAAGATATCCCCATTTCTGTAAGATGTGCTTACTGCTAACACTGTTATCTGTGCTATTAGCACAGGTTTTTGCACTTTGTTGTGCTTGCCAACTGATGTCAAGAAAATACCAAATAATTAGCCAGCGGTTTGAATTTTCTGTCATTTACAAAACCATCACAACAATAGCAAAAATACTTCATACTAAATGAAACATTTAAAGTAATTGACCAGAATTAAAAAAAAAAACAAAAACAAACTCAAAAAACCCAAGTCTATTTTATCTTGGGTGTTTTCCATTTATATGAGAAAAAGCTGACCACTTAGAAATGTATGTACATGTATTCCCACATTATAGACCTTCTCCAGCCACCTACCAAACCAAGGAAACTTTTTCATCATACTCTTCAAAAGCAGAGACTCAAACATTTTCTATTCATTCTATTTTTTTGTTTGGGTTTTTTTTTTTTGTTGATTTTTGTTTTGTTTTGTTTTTTTAAATCACTACAAGCAACCACATGCCAGAAAGCATACATTGGGTAAAACCACAAGTTTTAGCTTGAATTTCTAGGCAACAAACTTGCAAAAAGTAAATAGGAGATTTAATTGACAAGTGCACCACTGAAATTGTTAATTTTCTTGTAATCCATACAGTGAATGCTTCTCACACTGTCCCTTGGAGCTAAGCCATATGGAGAGGTTTGTTTGCTGCTACCACTAACCCCACAGCCATGGAGTGCAGTGATCCTACTTCTACAGAGTGTTCTTTTTTTTTTTTTTTTTTTTTTTTTGATATGAGATTATGAAATACTTAGAGTAAACACAATAAACAAGAAGATGGAAAGGGAAGAAGTTACTTTCAACTCAACTATTCTAAGATGAACGCTTCTCCTTTGAATTGTCTTTATATTTTATACTTTTCAAGAGCTCCGCTTAGTCCGGAGAATAAATGCTATTAGACAGGCCTTACACTGGCAAAACATCTGTTAATTTCAGTGTCACACATGCATGAGTACAAGCTATGTATTAAAATATAACATCAAGTACTCAAGCCGAATCTTTATATATATTTTTATATATACATCTTTATAGACATTAAGCCTTTAAACTCAATACATGCTGTTTTATGCTCAATAAATAAAGTTGAATTTTTCCTAAATCACTCATTTTGGACTTCATCAGCTCTAAAAAAAGTATACACAAAATGAAAATATAATGCATTGTAATTCCTGAAGATTAAATATGTAGAATTTTAAGAGTGTAGAGGAGTTCATTTTATCAAATATGCTTTCCATATTAAAGAAATATTTCAATCCCTGCAATTTCACTCATATTTCTGCTTCTGCTGAAAGTCTCAACCCCAAAAGATTTTTTTTTCTAGTTGAAAAATAATTTTTAACTAGCTGATATGATATCCATTATTATACCTCACTGAGTTGAAGTATTCTTTCTGATTGAAACCTGTCGTTACGCAAATTATCATACAACAAAAGGAATTCTTTAAAGTACAGATGATAAAATATAAGAATAAGGTAAACAAGAAACTTAGAGACTAGTAAACTGCTAGCACATAAAACAACTAAAATACAATTAATCTCAAATGTGAATTTCATAATAAATGAATGGCCATTCTAAAGCCATTTCTCCACCACCTGCTGTGCTTTCCTAGTTCTGTGTACTCTTCCATAACTTAGGAATGGCGATGTGTCTCAATGCCAGGCACCTTTAAGCCTTCTATCATTTGACAGTACTTCCATGATACAAGTAAATACTGCTGAAAATGCTTGAAAGTGGTGTCTAAGTATCATCACTAAAAATTATTAACAGGTTCATAAAGTAACTACCACATTCTTAGATACACGCAGTCAGTGGTAGTCTGTTAGCAATTTTTTAATTCCCTCAAAACTACAACTACTTATTTGTAATGTAATAATTCTTTACAAGACTCTAGAACACTGCTAGACTTCCTGTAGTAGAGAATTTATTAAATATTATTAAGTAAACATATGCTTTTATCTATCTTAACTCAATGACTTCATAAAATTTGAAAATATTCCCTGCATTCATCTTTATCACTGTTGGTGCTAAACAAATAATAACAATAAAAATAAAATGTAGCTAGGAAAAACATGTATGTAAAAAAGCCTGTTTTGATTTGATTGGCTGTAAGCAACATCCAGTTTTCTTGGGCTTTAGCATAAGTGTTCTGCAATATGGTGAGATGAGAGAAAAGGAAGTAACATTTATCTAAAAAGTATCTGGGGAAAAAAAGAGAATTGAAAAGGAACACACCATCTTATTAATGAATTTTTAACAAATGTCAGACAAGATAGGAAAAAGCTATTATATGCTTCATAATATAACAGCTGAAAAGACACAAGAATCATAGCAATCATTCATCAAAATTATTTCTTGTATTCACATCAATATTCAGAGAAAGAAGTACCGGTGTTCTGCTGACTCTCCCCAGTAATAAATGTTTGGAAGGAAAAAAATTAACCACGTCATATCATTAGATTTTATGACATAACTATGACACTCAGTATCAACAATCAGCACAATAATCCACATGGGCACAAAGTAAGGATTGTTTTATCAAGATTATATTTCACATTTCCTAGCATGTGAATAATCTGTATTAAAAACTTTCATGTTATATCACAAATATATTTTGTTCATACAATATATAGTTATAAAACAAACAAAAAACCGTATACTAAACTAAACAAAATACTGCTCTGTGTTAAAATAGCATTAAATCTGAGCTGCAAATGCACAGGAATAAAGTTATCCTGAAATAAAACCTTCACTACACATTTCATTTTGGTTTGGTTAAAATGTCTCCATTTCAGCTTGCAGCAGTATCTTTACTGATGTCATCATGTCTATACTGTCATTAACTTATATCTTCCTCTCTGGCATGGAAGTTAATTTTGTTCCCTACATACTGTCTCCATATTCTTGCCATGCTGATGAGCTCACTCAACATACTCATTCCTATTCAAGTATTGGAGCTGACAAAAGTATTGAGTCTCTAAAAGGAAAAATACTGTATTGGGTGACTTTCAAATCTATGTATTCTCAGTTTCCAAAATTTTTCTCCAATGGTACATAGCTATAAAACTACACATTACTTTCAAAATGAAATGTGTCATCCTTTCTTCTTTAAAGCTGGGTGACAAAAATGACGTATTTGAAACAGCTGACATAGACATCTAGCTCCCTATAGGAATTAAAAAAAAAAAAAAGAGGGTAATGGATCATTTAGAAGATTCGATTATGACTGGAATTGAATCAGTTAGCTGGAGCAGAAAATTTTACGTACAGGGATAAGTTTGGTAAGGTTATTATGTAATTACTGCATTAAAAATAAACAAAGAACCTGGAAGCTACAAATGGTCACTTAATCACTGCAATGTATTTGTTCGTCAAAGCACATCACTCCGTTACCCCAGGACTGCCAAAGGCCCTGCTTACAAAGGTCTCTACCTTTAAAAAGGGTAGAAAGGAGGACCCTGGGAACTACCGACCCGTCAGCCTCACCTCTGTGCCTGGGAAGATCGTGGAACAGATCCTCCTAGAAGTTATGCTGAGGCACATGGAGGACAGGGAGGTGATCTGAGACAGCCAGCATGGCTTCACCAAGGGTAAGTCCTGCCTGACCAATCTACTGGCCTTCTGTGATGGAGTGCCTGCATCAGTGGACAAGGGAAGAGCTATGGATGTTGTCTATTTGGACTTCTGTAAGGCCTTTGACACGGTTCCCCACAACATCCTTCTCTCTAAATTGGAGAGGTATGGATTTGATGGGTGGATTGTTCAGTGGATGAGGAATCGGTTGGATGGTCGCATCCAGAGGGTGGTGGTCAATGGCTCAAAGTCCAGATGGAGATCAGTGACAAGCAGTGTCCCTCAGGGGGACACTACTGGGACCAATACTGTTTAATACCTTCATTAACTACATGGACAGTGGGATCAAGTGTACTCTCAACAAGTTTGCAGACAACTCAGTGGTGCAGCTGACACACCTGAGGGACAGGATACCATCCAGAGGGACCTGGACAAACTTGGGAAGTGGGCTTGTGTGAACCTCACGAGGTTCAACAAGGCCAAGTACAAGGTCCTGCACCTGAGTCAAGTTAAGTCCCTGTATCAATACAGGCTGGGGGATGAAGGGATTGAGGGGAGCCCTGAGGAGAAGGACTTGAGGCTACTGGTGGATGAAAAGCTGGACATGACCTGGCAATGTGCACTTGTGGCCCAGAAAGCCAACTGTGTCCTGGGCTACATCCAAAGCAGTGTGACAGGCAGGTCGAGGGAGGGGATTCTGCCCCTCTGCTCTGGTGAGACCCCCCTGCAGTACTGCCTTCAGCTCTGGGGTCCTCAGCACTAGGAGGACATGGACCTGTTGGAGCAAGTTGGGAGGAGGCCACAAAGATGATCCGAGGACTGGAGCACCTCTGCTGTGAGGACAGGTTGAGAGAGTTGGGGTTGT